GTTAGTGTAACACGGTGAGAACGATTTTGGGTTGAAATAATTATACAGGGGGGGGGGCACAGTTGTATTTTGGAGCTGAAGTGGAAAATGGGTCATTACACAGTATAAATATTGAGCGCTTAAAAGCATAGTGGCCGCCTACTTGCCACAAATTTTTGAGCACGTTCTTACAGGCAGGGTACAGCATCGTATTGAGTTACAAGTACAGGTTGTCAAAGTGCGTACAGTACCCCGAGAATTGCGCGTGAGATTAACTATTTTGGTCGTCAATGCATACCACGGGCTGGCCCATCCGGATCCTTCGCGTGGAGACTGTAGCCTGACCACGCGAGCTACCTGCCTGGATCGGCGAGTCGCTACCCTAGTGGCAACATCACCGCGGAGCTTCGCCTTACGCTACGCCCCATTGTGTGCGTTCACGACGCGACATTCTTAACTTCACGTGCAATTTTTGGGGGTACTGTACGCAGCCTGACAACCTTAACCTTCAATCTTGCCAACATCTGTGAATCACATGGGGGTCGTACTCGCGGCTGGGGGGATGTGCTTTTGAGGGAAATTTGCCGCGTTGGGAAAAAGTTCTTCCCGGTTGTTCACTTTTCGCGGTCTTTCCTGTTTCCCATTTGCCCCCCCCCCCCTATTCCTAGCTGGTGGCACCGCCAAGGTTGTATACAACTATTATTTCCGATAGTTGAAAATAGTAGTTGGTTGCGGATGACCTTCCCCTCCCCCTTTCCCTGCTCGACGGAAAATTTTTGGGGAAAAAGTAGCAACTTTTTGGCTGGTAGGAAGCTGGGAAAGTAGGAAAGTGGTAGGTAGGTGCTGGGGAAGTGGGGGGGGGGTCGTACCGAGACCCCCTATTAGGGGAGTGCCGTGCTGACACCATTTCACACATCACGATGCTTTACTCTGCCTACGGGGTGCTTGTCGCATGGCGCTACCATTGGAGTAAGCTAAGGTCTGTTCCTAATATGTATCAATACAGAACCGGTAAAACTTTTATCAATGGTTCTATGATGCTCGTGACTGGCGCTATATTGTGCCATCGGTACCACTACAGTCTCACTTTTTCTTGTAATTGAGAATCAGAGCTGTCTGTTCCTCTCTCCTCTCCGCCTCCCCTCCGTTCGATGGGTGTCGTATTGCAGGAGAATTTCGAGGAGGGTCGTATTAAATGAGAAATATTCCCCGTCTCAATAAAGACCGGGTAACTGGATTTCTGGTAAGCTCTTTAGAAATACAGTAGTTGTAGTTGGTGTGGCATCTGGGTTGTACGAATCCCTCTCACTGGCCGGCTAATGCGATGCTTTGGCATGTTTTACAATGCATTTTGCCACAGAGACAATACGTTTAGTCCAAATCACAGGGCGACAGGGGGATCCTGGTGACGGCTTCATCTTCACGTGCCGACTTCCCCTCTTAGTCTCTGCCACTCTTTCGTCAAAACTGTCTCCGCTGTCGCAGCCACGCCTCTTGCTGCTCTTAAATACACTCAAAAATTTCTGAGATGCGGTAGGCGTGGCCGCGTACTCTAATTGAACGTGACGGCGGCCAAGGTTTTCGTGGTATATTTTCATGTGCACTTGTAATCGTAACTTGTCCAACACAGAACAAGATGACAGCTGTCTCAAATACAAATACCCCCGAGAAACACAACCTAGGCCTTTTTCAAATCCCACGCCTACTCCGCATCAAGGATTAAGAGTGTATGTACTGTTTGTACAGGGTGGCTAAAAGTATGGGCGCTCAGACGTGTACAGTTTTCTTCTAGCGGATGTTCTGGAATTAAGGAATTTTTTGGGGTAATGGAAAAAAGGAAGAAAAATGGAGTTACTGCAATAGATTTCCCAATACAGCATCGTTCGGAAAGAGTGATTCTTAGCGCTGGCAGACGAAATGGTTTCCGAGGTGCTGAATTTTTGGGAATCGAGAATCGAAAATCAAATGCTAATCAACCGTCAAATCCATGTCAACCTTGGCGAGATACCCCCGCCTGCGGAATCGGCGCAGTCATGTACTGTTCTCGTCAGACTGAACGGCTAAGCACGATAGTATTTTGAATATTCGTTTATAATACGGGTACTAAAGAGAATCCGTAAGCTTGGCGCGCCGGGTGTCGCGTGTGAACGCCGCAGAGGTTGCCATGATGACGATTTTTAGGTGGTATTGGTCGGGAGTAAGACAATTAATGCGACGAAAAAACGCGAATCAAGTGTCCGAGCCATGCGTCTTGTCTGACATGAATGCCGGTCCAGTCGAAAGGGTAGGGGCAACTTAAGAGGTGAAGTACGCGCGCCAACTGGCCGGCCAGCGGCGAACCGGAGCGCCAAATTTAAGATTCTCTTGCCCGTCTCCCCGTTTATACAGCCTATCATAGAGAAACAAAGCGAATAGAGACCCGAGCTGTAGAGAGACCATTTCTCATTTACATCAGGTTTTTAAAGTTGATGCCAGTTAATACTCTGATGAGAATTTCTAATGGACTCTCGGGAAGAACCCTCACGATCTATTAATGAACAGTCAAAGAGCGCATGAGAATTCGAAAACAGCTGTTTGTTATAGCAATTCGCGAAAGACGGCTGTTGATTCCTGCCTCACCCACAGTGATGAAACCTCTATACTACCTCTCGCTCTCGTAGTCCCAAGAGCAAGCACGGCGGCTTGTTGATGATGAGTGGGAGTGCGGCAGACGCTCTCTCTCTCACTTATTCGCGTTCGACTGCGCTCTCAGCTGATAATGGCCAATGACACAAACTCGACACTCCGTCAATCCGCGCTGTCACTCGCCACACTGGCCACGTGGCGCAAAAATCGCGAGCAGCCTGACGGTAGGTGATCAGTTGAACTTCCTTTCTCACCCCAGCACTAGATGTGGTTCCCTTTTCCTCAGAAAAATGATTCTTGCAATGTGGCTCATTCAATGATATTTTCGAAAAGTCTAATCTTAATCCTCAAAAGAAATATTTCTAAATCAATTTAGTGGCACTCTTTTTGCGATCAACACGTGGTGACATCGGACGGATTCTACGATTTTGTAGAAGACGAAGGTGATCGTCGTGCGGCTAACGTACGAGAACGAAAACGAATGTGCAGCATTAACGTCGCATTTATCGTACTCTCTCTCTACTTTACCGCAACTCACCACTGTGGATATAAAAAACGGATCGTGTAACCTTACAGGTAATATCAGTGTTCAGGGCAGCTGAGAACGTACGATTCCAGACATTTCCATTCGAAAAGACCGCTGCTCAAGAAGTTGACAGCCCCTAAGCCTAGCGAATTGCGTATATTAACATGCTGGAAGATGTTCTGAGGTACGTAATGCGATTTAATGTGAGGTACTGTAAGTCAAAGTTTCGATATACCATAGGTGGCGCAGGATGGATGGCGAGCGGGCCGTTCCTGAGCCTCTGTTTGAATAATCTCTGCCGGCGAGATTGATCCAGTTATGCAATAGGAACAGTTCAATTAAGTAGTCGCCTGTTTTAGGGATTAGGATAGTCAGATTTTGTGCCCGCGGGGACCACAGTTGCATGAAGATAGTTAGATTTCCCCTCGAGGACCCCATCAGAAAGTTACCCTTTCTGATGGGGTCCTCGCGGGAAAATCTGTTCTCGTTCAGGCAACCTTATTTTGATGAAATGATCGAAGATAATCATATCTGTATAGGTCGATCGATCGAATTTGTAACAATTAAAGGGTAATCCAGTCTTTAGAAGCATCGTCCACGAACACCTACCTCCTGTGGAAACCCCTTCCTGTATCTGTGGCCCTTTGTAGCTTGACACCAAGCTGCAGGAGTACTGCTGCTGTCATATGACGAGGAAACGCCGCCCATAAAAGTTGCTCCTCATGTCGGCAGTCCTATCTATAAACGCAGATGACGCTTGCGTTCATTTCTATGTAGAAACTCATCCTTAGCCTATTGCTTGAGACCGTGTCTATCGTCTGGCTCCTTTTTCTTTCCATTTGTTTCCATCTCTAGCGTCTCCCGCGCGCAACAGTGTCTCGCTGCTATGAATGCTCGTCCAATGGTGCGACGTAATTTAGAACGTTCTCGACGATTCTGTACATTTTGTTCTTCATTGGTAAATCTACCAGTTTGGACGAGAATTCATACGACACTCTGAATGACTTGGTCTTGGAGCGATTGTCAAATAGTCCAGTGGCTTGGTCAAATACACGGGCACGGAAAATTCCAGAATTTTGGAATGCTCTGACCACACGCTAACGTTAAGAAGTTTCGCAAATATTTTAAATTTCAGATCTCCCATGGATCCTCATCGCTATATTCGCAGATGTGTTGCAATGTCTCGCAGTAGCCATCCAAATGCTCCTTCATGGAGCACTAGCGGTACGGTGCCATTTGCTATTATATTTTGCTGTATAACAAAAAAAAACGGAAGTTAATGTCCCCAGAATTCCTGGACAGTTTGATTACTATGCTGATCCAATAAAAGACTATTGCAGGCGTTTTCGTTGCAGACGCTAGGTCATGTCAAGGAGTTGGGTTGGGCGTGTCGCCTACTTGTTCCCCACCAACTATTGAAGCAGGCAAGCAGCCCTAGTCGGTGGAAAATGAGCCGGTGCCGCGCCATACCCAGCTCCCTGACACACCTCAGTGTCTTTAGCGGAAACGATAATATTTATGTAAAGCTGCGGTGGGAAAACGATCCCCATTATGGCGATTATGTGTTTCGGGTGTAATGGTCTTTCAACCATTCTGAGCATGGGAGAGATGGGTGGCACTAGGGGGACTCAGTTGTATTGTAAAATTTCCACATACATGTGTATGTATTTGTACTCTGAATCCCTGAGATGCGGTAGGCGTGGCTGCGTACTTCAACTGAAAGTGGCAGCGGCTGGGCTTTTCGTGAGATGTTTTCATTTTACGGCAGTTGGCGATCATGCCTTTACCCAACACAGAACAAGGTGACTGCCTCGAATTGAAGTACCCCACGAGCAGCTCATCCTATACCATGTTCAAATTCACGCCTATTCCGTCTTAGGTGTGATGAGGGTAAACAGCCTGCGGTGCGAAATAAGAGTGCCAGCATTGAGAAGCTGAAGGCATCGGCAGATGTCTCAAACAGTTAAAGCATTCAAGTAGGCGTGCTAAAGAGAGCAGATGCGGCACAGTGGCTACAGGAATCGATCCACATTTGTACGATTATTTTGTCGATATGTGTGCTGCATGACCAAGCTTGAAAACCTGAGCTGTATGTCGTTAGCTCCACGTTGCGGTGTGTCGTGAGCCCCAGAAAGGACAAAAAGACTGGGCGTAGGAGGAGTCCTTTGTTATTAGAGTCTACAGTCTACCCGAAATTCGGGGCTCGCATGCAATCACTGCGCGATTCGTGCAGGCGGAACTCCTGTAAATTTCTTGGCTGGGCTTTTTTGAGATTAAAACGTTATGAGGGCGTTATAATTAACAGTTATTTCGTTTGCAATAAACCTGCGCGGTTTAAGAGAATGGAGGAAGGGCACAATCCGTAAGGCTGCGTTTATACTTTGCGGCAGCGTAGCGTAGCGTAGCGCGTAGCGTAGCGCTTCCAGCGTACGCCAGCGGCAGTGCCGAAGAGAGGATGCATATCGATCTAGCTTCACCAGCGTCACCAGCGGCACGCTGGCGTACGCTAGCGTACGCCAGCGTTTCTCCAGCGTTTCACCAGCGTTTTGCTAGCGCTTGCAGCGGCAGGGGAGTAGAGACTATGTGGCCGTGAGAGAAGCGGAATCGACGTGTATTGTAGAGACCATATGGCCGTCGGAGACGCAGAAGCGATGTGCATTGTAGAGACTATGTGGCGTCGGAGACGCAGAAGCAATGTGCATCGTAGAGACTATGGGGCCGTCGGAGACGCAGAAGCGATGTGCATTGTAGAGACTAAGGGCGAGTGGGAGACGCGCAATCGATGAGTTTTGTACCCTCCAGCTCTCCCATAGTCTCTACTCCCCTGCCGCTGCAAACGCTAGCAAAACGCTGGTGAAACGCTGGAGAAACGCTGGCGTACGCTAGCGTGCCGCTAGCGTACGCCAGCGTGCCGCTGGTGACGCTGGTGAAGCTAGATCGATATGCATCCTCTCTTCGGCACTGCCGCTGGCGTACGCTGGAAGCGCTACGCTACGCTGCGCTACGCTACGCCTACGCCTGCGCTACGGCTTACGCTGTCCGCAAAGTATAAAACGCAGCCCAATCTTTTCCTTCCTAACCGGTCGCTAATCAGTCTTTCATCGGTAGAGAAGGTAGGCGGCGTGGGGCGGCTCACTCTGCCTCGCTGACTCCGCCCCTATCAAAAGTGCGGCGCTACCAACTATTTGTGCAAGTAAGAGAGTGCAGACACCACTACAACACTTTCCATCTTCGATTTGTCGGGCCCATCTATCGCTTGCTCTTACAGCCCCCCTCTTTTTACTGTTACGGAAGAAACGCTTCACCAGTTCAAGTGTATTGAGCTCCTACTAAGAATATGGAGGAAAGCACTCATATCCTGGAGATTAGAAGGGCGTGACCACTACAGTAGGCGTAGTTTATGAGAGTGCGGGTTTTGGCATTGGAGTATCTCATTCGGGGCCATTTGTAATCTCTTTGAATAGAAGACAGATTGACAGTTCTCTCTGATTGAAATATCCCATTACCAACCCATTGGCATACACAAGTTCAACTGTATGTGCGCAGCACGGCCTACGCGTTGTTGGGATAGGATCTTACGATCTAACTTATGCCCTTCAAACTTGATGCAAAATAGGCTTCCGATAAAATATAATCTAGTATCCTGATGAATTTATATGTGATCATCATCACTGCAAAAGAGAGGGCATGTGAAGGGTAGTAGAATGGGAGTTCAGCGGCGGCCTCTCCCACCAATTAATGCCGTCTTGAACCTGCAACCATTGGTGGGAAAGGCTGCCATGGCTGCGCTCTAGTCCATGCCCCTTCGCAAGTCCACTCGTTTGCAGGGATAATGGCTGTACACTAATTTTCATGATTCAGATCTGATCGCTAGACTCAGCTGGATCAAATGGCGTCGACTCGGAATCGAACCGATCGAATGAGAAAAGAAACAAAGTGCAGTTTTATTTCCATTTATCACAATCATCATTGGTGAGATGAAATAAATTTTATATACATTTTCTAGAAATCGATAACACACACAACAAGCGACCTTGGCTATCCATACAGTGCACTGTCACCTATGAAAAACGTGAAAATAGCCATTAGTGAACGGACGACCCGACAGTCGAAATGTAGCAATTGATACAAGGAATAGTGCAACATCTCGTTGAGAGGGAATATGACAGCGAAGAATAGGCAGCCAAATTAGCAATGCCTAATACTCAGAAATGAGATTACGGTATTGAGAGCAATGAACACTATGAAATCAATTTCGATTGGAACGTTTATTACCGAACAGCTGTTCGACACCTGTTAGAATTGTGTTCAGACTGAGGGGGTCATCAGGATTCGTGCAGCGAGTGCCAAGGATGTTGTCCTGAAATCAGTCATTTTCAATAAGTTGTAGAATAAAAGCCGAAGTCATACGCATCGCTAGCTCTCATACACCAGCCCATCAGTACTAATACTATTCGCGTTCACCACCTTTCGCCCAGTAAACCGTAGGAATTAAGACCGCTATTGAAAAAGGCGAAGTACAGTAGGCCACCTTTTGACTCCGAAAGATCCGAAACAGATCAGAATTTGAGTGGAATTTCATCTATTTTTCAAACAGCTACGCGCCTTCCACAATCTTTTTTCCGAAACTGTTTCAGGGGCTTGGGTCGCTTCAGCCTAGAAATACTTCGCGCCGGAAGAGCATTAATTCTCCGTCGCGGTGAGTGTGACGAAATAGGCGTTGCAAGCGGGCTGACGTGCGCAGTATTCGCACCAGGACTTAGGACACGCCATTGTGATCATTTCCTGAAAAATACGCCCCCCCCCTAATTCCATCTTCAAGTACGACCCCCTCCCCATGTTACCTCTTCCCTAGATTTTTCCAACCCTACCACTCTATTTTTTCCCAAAAAATTTCTGGTTTTTTTACAAAATTTTGCTGTCGAGCGGGGGGGGGTCGCATACCTACGTACGTCCCAAGCACGTCCAGCACTCTGGCGCTGGTGTAGCATACTGACAATACGTACGAGGAAGGGGCGATGATAGGAGCTACGATCACCGCCCACAAGGGCACCATGAATTTATAAAAACAAAGGACTCACGACGTGACGATTAATAAACAGATGAAAGTACATTCCCGGACTTTTCTGATCGTAGGAGCACATTTGCTTGCAATTGGGAAGCCCTATCTAGAAGTTACACCTTCCAAACACCTGCGTGAAAGCCCCATGCATGGCGCATTGCAGAGGTGATGCCAATTGGCGCCCAATGGCCTATTTCCTGATACCCTTTGCGAAAACATGTGTTTTAGAAGCATACCAAAGTCTTCAAGCCAACTGGAGGTTTCATGGCCTCGGAGGGGCTGATTTTCGTGTCGTGGGGGGGGGGGTGGTCACGAAATGATCACAACGGGGAATTTTTTCGAATAGCAGGCCTAGGAAGAAAATTAAAGCCTTGCTGGAAAGTAGAAATCTTCAAGCTTCCGGCACAATTCTTTTTTTACGAAAGGCCGTGTATGAAGCTTGCCATGGACGTCCAAAGCGTAGCGACTCGCAAAAATGATTCAAACGGACAGAACGATGATCAACAACGAGTAAAATCTTCTGGAATCGGAACGTTTTTGTAACGCTCCAGTCAAGTGACACGCCCCACTTAGCTCTACTCTTTCTCCTTACCTTCCTCGACTAGCTCGTTTTTCAACGACAGTTCATTGGCGCGCTCTCACATGAGGGGTGCTTTTTCACGTGTTTGGCTTGAAATTGGCTCCAGGCCGTAAATAGCGCGCACCAATGAGCTTGTATGAGCGCGCTGACCGCGAACAGCCAAAATTCAAAAGTAATCCATAGTTCCGGTTCCCAGCTGCCTGGTGAGTTTTTTTCTTATCCATTTGATTGTGAATTATTTTGATTGTTTGTTTTTGTTGAGTTTGATTTTGTTTTGTTGAGTTTGATTTTGTTGTGAGGAAATTGCTCAGGATTCAATTTCTACGGTTTCATAGGTAGCTTTTGCAATGGATTCTTTTCTAGATTTTGTGCGGATAGTCGCTTCTGCTCTCTCGTAGACCAGATGAGGAGGTGGCCTAACCTGAGGTGTTGGTGGGCGAAGTGTCTTGAAGTTTTTTGTGAGGAAGGAGGAAAAAGTTTCAGCAATATTTTTTTAGTTCTTGGCCTAGGAATAGTTCGATAGTGCCTAGTTCTATTTATTGTCATCTACATCGTCCCTTTTGAGCTTCTTTTCACTTGTACCGTGTATCACCGCTCTCTCCACTTCAACATGGGCCATGCGTTTACGACCCCCCCCTCCATCGCGGGCAAATACGACCCCCCCCCCCCCGTTGTGATGATCACAAAGATGGCGTGCCCTGCCATGACCCCAATCACACAAATGCGTTACAGCGCTGCGCGTGGCTTCATTGCGTTTGCGTTCTCAGTTTCGACTAGCTTCCTGTGCTCGTGGGCAACCTAATTAACTGCGTTCCATAGCCCAGCCATTTCTGGTGATTCAGGGTATTTCAGGAGTCAGGCCAGAGTTGCAGCATTCAGCACAGAACAGCTAGAATTCCTAGCTAGTTGACTGGTCGTAGAACTCAGTTGTTTCTGGCAGTCTACAACGTATGTCATTTATTTGACGGCTTTATCTCAAATATTGGTAGGCTGCTTTCTCCTCTTCCAAGTTTAGGGACCACTCAGTGAACGAATCTCGAAGCCTGATGAACGTGATCTCATAATGGTCCGAGAAACTTGAATTAGGTAAGGAATCCTAGTCTACAAGAAATCCGGAGCTCCAGCCGACAGGCTAATGCGAATTAAGGAACGCAGCACTCGTCGCCGTTCGCTGGAACGGTTAATTACGATCACTGACCCCCTTAAACTGCTGGCACCCGGATTTTTTCAAATAGGTGCTGCTGCACTGTGCTGGTAGGCAGCCTCCAAATCCAACCCATGTACGAATTAGAGAATAGTTTTCTAAATAATGGAGTATAGGGATTCCCTAAAAGTTTGCTCCTACACATTTGCTTCCATAGAGCCCACGGTAAGCAGCAAAATTGTGTCGCGCGCAGTGTGTTCACAGAAGCAGGGATTTGGAGCAGTACTTCCGAGTCGTAGCAATGCGCGTTGTAGCATTGCGCTCATTCGCACAGTATCCCAGCTTGTCGTCTAGACGGGCCACAACATAAAGAGGAGAACCAGAGTCGTCTAGACGGCCACAGGCACATAAAGAGAGAACCAGACGACTTGAGAGACGCAGACGTAGAGAGAGTCGACGCGTCACAACACTGCTACGTCGAGTGGATTGGGTCCTGATACGAATGTGCGCACGTCACCCCACTGCACAGTCATATTTGCCGCGGCAGCAAAGTAACGCTTACATCCGCGAAGCACAGTCCAAACTGTGTAGCTTGAGTTCTTAGTGCGAAGTGCAGCGCTATTTGTGAATTGTATGGGAGACCAGTGTTGGGTCAACATTGACGTGACACAACGCTCTCCGTTTTTCTAAAGTCACTCTTCTCCCCCCCCCCCCCGCATACAATCGCAATTGAGCTGTAATGAAAACGAAGCAACTTACTCGAACCTGCTTATATCCACATAAGCATTGACACGTTCCAAATCTACAGTCAGCGATAAGCCTGACACTGTTCTTGAGAGAAATCGATGGCCAAGTTGAGCTTTTGGAAGGCATCGGTCGGTCGATGCAATCTCTTCCAGCTGATTACAGGTCTTCTCACACGTTGGAAACCGATCATCATTGTACTAAAAGTTTTTATCTTGCATACTGTTACCTTGTACTGAACATATTCTTAATCAGTATTCTAGAGAGCAAAATTAACCAACCGGGTGATAGCCAAGTTTACATTGACAAGTGCCCAAAGCGCATGACATCGAGATACCGCCTTCACACTGTAAAAATTAACTGGTAAATTTGCACGTGAATCTGCATGCAGCCTTGTTCGTTGCGGATGCTAGGGCGTGCCAGCGGTCACAAGGAAAGGATGGTTGGTCGAAGTGGCCATTTCAGACAAGGTGCATACACACTGATGCGTCTTCGGACGCTGATTTCAAATCTGCTTTCCATATCTGCTAAACGATTCTCTGAGAAGAGATATGCAGGAGGTTGTTGTACGGAGCACAATTGAGTTGGTAACACAAATGAGACGTGAGTCGTCACACGAAGTGCATCGGTGGCCTAGTGGGTAGTGTGCCGCGCGTCGAGTATGCGAGGTAGAGGTTCGAATCCCTCCATGAATCGCCATTTTGCATTTTCTCAAAAATGCCTCCTGCACATCCGGAAAGCACTTCTGCGAGGCTAGGAGACCTGATTCTACCAAAAAATTTTATTTCTGATGTGATAGAGCCATTCTGGAACACTCCTAGTGGGACCTCCTGATTGTTGGTTTCGGCGGCATTATTCGTTCCGTCGTGTTGTGAGGCCAAACTGATTCCAGATGGCATGGAAGCCAAAAGTGGATGTCGTGGTTGTTATCAGGACCGTCAGTAACCAACAAGGACTAAGATTTAGCGAGGAACCTCCACTGCTCACAGAGATTTGAATCGGCGATAGTGCCAGCAACCTTTAGGAATTAGCTGCCTATGGTGGCTGACGTTGCAGGTTCCTGCACACCCTGCCCCTCCAGAATGCGTACAAGACGTTTTCACGAAATATGACTGCAGTGTTGATTTCCAGGGCACTGAAGCACCTCTAGTTTCAGATTCCAGCCAATTTGGGCAATTTGGAGCACCTCATATACATGCTGGAATGGGTGTGACCACTGTCAAAAATCCTGCATAACTTTGTCCAGGAAGTCGTTTAGCAGATATGGAGGGCAGATTTGTAATCAGCGTCCAAAGGCCCATCGGGCAGTATACGTCTCATTTCGAATGGCCACTTCGACCAACCATCCTTTCCTTGTGAGTTGGCGCGACTCCAGCGCGTTTTTCCACAATGTTGACGAACACACTTGATTCAAAAATTTAGTGCAGAATAGGCTGCGCACTCGGCGACAACCCAGCCCCTTCAACACCGCAGCATCCGCAGCGAACAAGACTGTGCCCTTCAAGGACCTGTCCGAGATACATTTGGCAATTCAAAAGCTGAGTAGGGGTTGGAAGGTTAGAACAAAAAATCAGTGAGTGCTGACTGGCATATCATAAACTAAAAACAAGTCGGATCTTAAATAAGGCCCTACTGATTGTTAACATTGGACAAGAACGTGGTGGGTATAGAAGCAGAGATTCCAAGCGCGCAGAAGACTAGAAAACTGGTGCAGTCGCACAAAGAATAAAGATGGATATCTAACAATAAACGGAGCTGATTGGAGGGGCGTGGTCAGACCCAAGTTGGAAGCCCTTGCGTTCCTAACCGCACTTTCTTGTGAAGAAGTGGAACAACTACGTATGCCCGCGATCTGTCCACATATACGATAAGGTGAGACTACCTACCAAGTAATCGCGGAATGTGTCCTTTAATATGAAAACAATGCTTGCCCAGTCACCTGCTGATCGATTTGGCATGGGTCATCACGATGAGCTATTGATAGGCATTGACCGTTGATATACAATGAAGTCGGATCACGACATGGGCGGGGACAGCAAAGTGACGATTTCCATCTGAAACTCATTCTTCAAAACTGTTAACAAAGTTTTCTAGGAGTTCTGATGTCATGGAGACGTTAGATGTTTTCTAAAATCAACTTTTCAATACAAAAAATTACCCGCCCTGGCTCGCTGATCGTATAGCAGAAGTGGGTGAGCGGTCGGCACTTGGATTCTGGCGCTGCACCAGCGTCGCAGGATTGGCTGAAAAAGGCTCATCGGCAATTTCAGTAGATGCAAAATGCCCAGGACACAATCAAGCGACTCAGGACAAACCTCAGGTCGGGCTCTCCATACGGACAACGTAATCGGCAGCAGTGCCCGACATATGGACTACCGTAAGTCACACAGCGGTAACCGAGGGGGCAACTGTCTGTGTTGGCTGCATTTTCAAGCATGTCCATTCATTTTACGAGAGTCGGCGACATGTCTGGCTGATGTCATTCCATCAGGACTACTAAATTTGCCAAAGTCAGTGAAACCAGGGACATGGTGCAAATCTATAGTCGACCAAGACAGCCTGCAATTATCGCGCACATGACAATTCCTTAATTTATTTATTTTTTTACATTTGTTATATTGTATCCAATGTCTGTGATAAAACGCTAAAAATTCCATCTATGGAAATGGAATCCGTGAGAAACGCAATGGGGTAGACGAATTAGTTGTAGTTGAATCCAGAGTACAGCATCGTTGTGTGAAACACCCACGGGAACGTACTTTTCGGCCGGTGGTGGGGTCGTTATGTGCTCGTGAGGGGCTTTTTCCACGTTGGGAAGAAGCTTCTTTCGGTTGTGACTTTTCGCGCGATTTTTCCTGTTTCATGGGTATCATGAAACAGGAAAATGGCGCGAAAAGTCAACAACAGAAAGAACTTATATGTACTATATCCCCCCCTGCGACTCGAACAGCAGAAATCTTTGGGTTGAAAACTGTGAAAATGTTGGAATCGGGTAACGGTTAGATGTTGGTCGGAAGAGGGGAGGTAGAGGGAGGGGGTATCGTACCGGACGCCTCTTCGAGAGGGGACGATATGGCCACCATTACAGCACATCACGATGCTGTACCCTGGTTCAATCTATGCGACGCGTGCGGTCACGATACAGCTGCCTAGGCTGCACTCACTCAATCGCCCACGTAATACGTAATCGCCCACGTGTAGGGATGAAAACTTGACGGCCACCAATAGAGTAAAAATGAACGAAATATAAGGCTGCGGTCATACTTTGCAGCAGCCTTCACAAGCGACCAATAGCGTCCATCAGCGTTCCGAGCGTCCGGCAGCGTCAGCGACTTAGAAAGTGTGATATTCGATCGTAGGTTTGTAGCCGCAGCGTCCTTCGATTCTTATCAGCGCCATTCGGAGCGTCTTGAGGCTAGGGAGGTATAGTTGTAATCTAGCGGTCTCAGCGAAACTGCGCGATGCCCAGCGTCTCACTAGCCTCCGGAGGGAGAATGTGGGCGCAACAGGAAGGTAGCAAAACTGTGGTAGAGAGGTTTGGCGCAAAGAGAGGATAGGTTAAGCTTAGCTGATAGAGTTATGGGGAGACAGGAGGGTGGCAACCTGCTGGTAGAGATTATGGTGTGATCGTTACCTATACTTCTCTAGCCCTCGAGACGCTGGTGGACGCTGAAGAACGCGGGCATTGATATCTTTACTTCCCTCACCACTGGCGCTGCCGGACGCTGCCGCAAGGTATGAACGCAGCTTAAGAGGGTATACAGTCTTTGCAGTGACACGCTTCCACAAATGTTCCCCAATCCTACAGACAGAAACTCAGCTATAAATGGATATTGCTCGGTGCCGGCCGGTAGTGTTCTGAAACAGTATAGGAGAATAGGAGGGTACGCGTTGCCTGATATACAGTCTGACACTCTCCTTCTCTTCTATACTCTTCGAAGACACCGGCAGTCGACGCCGATCGATACTCGATACGGTTTTGCGTTCCGTCCAGGAAAACAGGGGAGTGCTATTACAGTGGAGCAGGGACAAAATCATTAACAAGCGGAGTTAGATACTCCTCTTATTATACATTTTGAATCCGCCTATAAAAGCTATGTACGAATGTAACTTCTTACTGGGAAAGCTCATGGAGGAATTCTTAACGGAAAGGCTTACCAGCGTAGCAGAAGCCTCTCATCACATCTCTTGTGGTTCCTGGGGCGCATTGACAAGTACCAGCAACACAAGCGTTGAATGGATCGACACACTGACTGTCCTTTTCACATACTTGGCCATAATGTGCCACTCGTGTACATTCGACGCCGTAGAGCTGTTGACCAGCCGGGCACGCTGAAATTAAGCACTTACAGCTTGGGAAATCATAAGGTCCTAAGAAGGTATGGAACACAGTGAGGTGCATGATATGCAGTCTTGTTCGTTGCGGATGCTGGGACGTGTAAGGGAGGCCGACTTTAGCTCAATGTTGGTCCATTTCCCACCATTATGGAAGCTGGCAGGCACCACAGTTGGTGGAGAAATGGCAAGCACACATCAGATACGTCAGCTACTTCCCAGCATCTGCAGCGAACGGAACTGTATGAGCGTTGTTCGCCAAGCGCCACCCAACGCACCGAAACTTGTTCGGAAATTTAGATGAGTACTGCCGCGTAATTTCGACCAGGAAATACCATGGGATGTGAAAAATCTCAGTGTCTCTACGACGCCTCGCCCTCCCAAGGGGGGGG